AGCCTCAGAGCTGCAGAACAGCTGGGAATTATGAGCTTTGCTGTACAGTCCCCTTGTGTTTGCTCACAGACAGAGGAGATCTTGCCTTCCACCTGCCACACATCCCAGGGTGCCCCCATTAGCCCTCACTCTAATTCTGTAAGAGTAGAACAGAGGTGAAGAGCTTAGGGGACATGGACACTCAGCCAGCTGTTCCCGAAAAACAGGAATATCTAAAATATAATTAGAAAAACAGAGAGAAAAATGATAATTTTAAAGCAATTTGCTTTAAGAAAACGTGCCACAAACCATCCTCTACCAAAGTAACAGCATGGGTCATCCCACTGATCATTGATCCCCAAAAGCACTAGTCCAGAGCTTCACCTAATGGGTGCCCCAAGGCCTTGCATTGCCTGGAGACTGCTCCTTTTCATCAGCTGGTATCACCTCACAGCTCCTCATCTGCCAGGGACTGCAGCACCAGGGGAAACTTGAGAAATCATCCTTCTGGGCATGAAGATAAACAACTGGTGGAATCAGATCACTGCATGGAAAGCCTGTGGATGGGCCATGGTTACCTGCAAAGCCTGTGTGCTTCTAGCTCAAGACAAGGAGAGGCATTAATCTGCCCCCTCCTGTGTTTGTGCCTGTCTGCGGCATGTGAGCAGGATGCTTTGAGCTTCACCACTCCTTTTGTTGTGACTCTCAAACGGTTTCCCACTGAAAACCAACATGCTTGCTGTTGACAAGTAGAGGAAATTCAATGCGACATGTCGGTGTTATCCGGTTTCCCATCCCTGTACACTATTGTATAATTTCACCACTCATTTGTTTTCTTTACACACAGGTGCATTTAGAGAAAATACAATCCATGGAAGAATATTTAGCCAGAGAAAGGTTGTAATCAGCTTTGACAGAAATCAGACAGTTTATGTGCTTGAAAATGTGGTAAGGGAGGAGGAAATGAAATGGAATAATTTCTTTCCCATGAACCAAAAAAATTTATGGCAAAACTACAGCATGAGAATGAAAAACTTGACAGGAAACACTGCTCCTGAGCTATTGTACTAAAATAACATGAAAGTCAAAGATCAGATTCATTAGACGTCTTCTGTGCTGCTCCTCCAGCCCTTTTACTGGACATGGCTCACAGGTGCTGAGAAGCACCAGTAACAGGCCAGCACTTGGCTCTGCCAGGGACTCTGTAGGCAGATGGACATGGTGAAGATAAGAAAAGTCCATAATTACGTGATGCAGAAATGCAGACGCTGTCCTCCATCTCATATGCCACTCCAATGAATCAGCTCAAGTTTAACAAGAGCACATGGTCACAAGTCTTACAAGGAATATCTGAGGAAACTAGGGTTGTTTAGTCTGTAGAAGGAAAGGCTCACGGAGGACCTTATTGCTTTCTACAGCTACCTGAAAGGAGGATGGAATGAGGAGGTGTCTGGTCTCTTCTCCCAAGTAACAAGTGATAGGACAAGAGGTAACAGCCTCAAGCTGCACCAGGGGAGGTTTAGGTTGGATATTAGGGAAAATTTCTTCACAGAGAGGGTGCTCAGGCATTGGAACAGGCTGCCCAGGGTAGTGGTGGAATCACCGTCCCTGGAAGTGTTTAAAAACTGTGTAGATGAGGCCCTCAGTGACATGGTTTAGTGGTGGACTTGGCAGTCCTGGGGTAAAGGTTGAACTTGAGGATCTTAAAGGTCTTTTCCAACCTAGCTGAGCCCATGATTCTATGTTTCGAAGTGTCAGGACTAGCACTTACATTTCTTTTTTTTTTTAACTATGTGTAGCTGTTCTAACTACCTTACATGCATTTATGCACATTTCACAGTAGTTTACACCCTAAGAAACTATGCAAATACAGTTAGGAAATCTTAACGTATTTTCCAGTTCATTTCAGGATGTTAAATAAAGTCAAATCCAATCTTTCTTCCACTTCTTTGGCACCTCTTTGGAGCGTGCATACGGATCCGGTAAATATGCACAGGCAAGCGGCGTAATCTTTAACCTGTCGTTGGGGGCTAAAAGGCTTAGACTAACCCAAACTTCCTTGTTTAATTGCGCTAAATCGTATTGTTTGCTAACCCCCACTCGTCTAAAAATTATGGGATCTTACATTGACAGTGTGATCAGTCCTCTAATTCAATAGTTTCACAGTTCATATTACATTCACAGAAGTAAAAGAAAGCCAGGCTGGAGAGAAGGTCAGTAGATTGTCCAGGTGAGCAGCCTGCCCCAAGGCAGGATTCACCTCTGGCCTAACACGTTGTGCCTGTTTGCCGTGTGCTTCTGAAGAGCCTCCTTTTCAATCTCTTCCAGCGCTCCACAATCTTTCCTGTTACAGGGTTCCTCCCTAGTGACTAATCTAAATCTTCTTTGATTCAATAAGCTTATTATTTCTTGTTCTAGCCACCACAAACATAAGAGACACTGGAAAGATGAAAGGAATCAATTGTTCTCTTTGTGTTTGGAAACTTGTACTTCAAGTATTCTGTAGTTAAACCTACTCAAACTCCTTCCATTTATCTTCTTATAGTTCTCATTCTCATGTACTTACATGCTCAGGTTTTCTAGATTTCTGTTAAATCTCATTGCTCTTCTCTGAACTGTTGCCAGTTTTTCCAGACAAGCATGACACACAGAAATAGACCTGATACTCTAGTTGATGCCTCTTCAGATCTGAACAGAAAGAGGTATTTCATGTCATGTGGATGATGCAGTCTTTGTAGATCTCACTTATTGTTTCTGTTCATTTTGCAGCACCACTTCTGGTTAGAACGGGTCACAAAATGAATGCCAGCCAACTATTTGACCTTTTTCTGCCAAGCTTTAATTCCTCCCTTTCCTGTTTGCAAAGTTTGTCAGTTCTGTCTAATTTCTCAAGACAGATTTTGAATCCTAATTCAACAATTAGGATTATCTATTTGCACCTACCCCAACATACAATACAGCCCTGTTTATTTCTCTTTGCTATATCTCCTGCCTGAAATAAATCACAAAGCAGTCGCAAAATCTCTCTCGTACATGTATCCTGCATTCCAACAATCACTGCTTCTGCTTTCTTTTTTGCAGCTGCTTTCTTTTTTGCTATACCCCTCCAAAAACAGAAAAGCAAAGACACAGTGTTATTTTCTTATTTGTTTGGTTTTTTTTTTAAATAACAGCATTTTTACTGTGAGCACTGGTAAGAAGACATAAAACAGTGAAACAGTAGACCATCTTCCCCATAGGGACATGTATAGGCACCTATGGCATATTTGAAAAGTGTGTGTGCTGCAAAAGTAATCTCTACACATATAAAGAGATTTTACAGTTTTAAAACTGATTTGTAATTATATTTAAACAGTGCTGTTGAAGTTTGCTATGGAGACCTCAAATATACCATGAGGAAGAGAGAATAGAAAGACCTGCCAAATGCTCCAAGCAGTTATTTTCCTCTCTGACTTGTTTTTAATTTTTACATCAGGAAGAGCACAATTTGAACACATGTTGGAAACAGCTTTATCTTTAGATCAATGAAAATAAGTGTTTATTTCACATTGTTTAGCATAGTAATTCCTCTTTTTTCATTTTTTTAGATTAGACTATGAAACTCTGGTCTGCTTAATTCAGAGTCCCGCAGGTGAGCAAAGCAGCACCCTGGGACTAGATTCAGTGCACCAAAGCCATTGATTCCTACTGTCCTAACTCTAAAAGGTGTTAAGGGATGAATTTGACAGTGATAAAGTTACTGCAAGCTTTGGTAAATATGCTAAAGTGAAAACAGGGCTGTTCAGCACCTTAACTTCTTATTAAACTGGAGCAAAAAGGGAAATTAAAACAAATTCAAAACATGAATACAAATTTACAGTAAAATTCAAGCTATTACAAATCTTCTTAGTTTAAGTCCTTTTGTCATCAGAAAAGGTTATTTATATGCTAGTAAATAGAAGTCCCACATTTTAAGGCCCTTTTTCCACCATTACCATTTAAACATTTGTCTCCCTTTTAAGCAAGCTGGGGTTAACTTACGCAATAAACTCACTCCATTCAACCATCCTTGGGTGACATGGTTTAGTGGGAGGTGTCCCTGCCCATGGCAGGGGGATTGGAACTAGATGATCTTAAGGTCCTTTCTAACCCTAACGATTCTATGATTCTATGCTGGAGTCACACCATGGTAGTGTTAGTTCTGCTCTGAGTCACACCATGGTAAATACCACCTTTGCTCGCAGTAGGATAAATTCTTCACTCTGTCAGAGGGAAGAGACAGACAAGTGCCCAATTCTCAGGAGCTTCATGAGGTCCTTCAAAGTATCCACAGGAAAATGATATGCTAATTTGGATCAGGAATTTTGTGGACTTCAATAGGAAAGGAAAAGTTTCTGGTGACTTAAAGAAATTTGTCCCAAACAGGATTATCTGTAAACATAGTAATAACTCATAGAAGATACCTTGTGCAACAATAGGGGAAAAAAAGAGCTTGCATGGAGCAAAAAAGAAAATCTAGGAGAGCAGAGGGAATGACAGAACAAGTTCAGAAATGCAAATGTGCATCAAACAGATGCAATAGTTGAAAACACACAAAAATCTTTGAAAGAGACTATTCAGAAAATTATAGTCAGCATTTTTAGTCCAAGGAGATGCACATAAAACCCAAAGACAAAGTGCTCTCAGAGTGATGTGACTAGTTAGGATTCAGTGAAAAAATACAGCTTCCTACCAGAGAGTCACTTATGCCATGTCTGTTTTCATTTGGACACAGAAATTATTATTTGGCAGCTCTGAAAACATTATTGCTTCAGATGCTCTTGAAATAATAAAGTGAGAAAGAATGAAAAGTATGAGATTTTGTGCCCAGCAAACACCAAAGTCCAGAAGAAAGAAACTCTTTTAGACCCTGAAAATTACAATTTTACATTATTTCACTAATTGCTGTGTGCAAAGGAGCCAGTTCATTATAGAGCCACAGATCCTTTCTGTGACGAGAAATAACTGGTGACTTGAAAAAAATCCACAATCCAACATTGAGCTGAGTAGCAATTGTTTTATGAGCTGAAGGAATGACTTTATTTGAAGTCTTGAAGCTCTTGGTGAAATAAGTCAGTCCCTGCCGTCACTAGTGGGGAGGAATATTTCCTCCTGTACTAAGAATACAGTGCTTCAGATGTACTGTTCTTCATCTCTTCCATTAATGAGCAATGACCACTTGTCCCCTTCTTCCTCAACAAACCCATTATGTTTCGGCAGCTTGTCTGCCGTCAAGGAAGAGAGAGATACTTGGCTAATCTGATCCCAAGGAGCTGCTCTGGATGAATCCCTCCTCCTATCATCCATTCCAATATGAACACTGATTTGGGAAGGAGTAAGTGGCTTCATGTGGCCTTGAGCTTGTGCTTCGTAACTTTCTGTGTCTGGCTTCTTATAACTAAGAAGAGAAAGAGAAAACATATTTACCACCAAACGATGAATGTGTAGACGTGTCTTCACATCAGAACAAATCAGAAACTTCTGATAACCCAAATGTTACCTGCACTTCAGACACAATGTCAATGGCTAAAAGTACTGGTCATACAGCATTAAGACATTTCAACAGTAGAAGAGAGGGACTCTCAAAGTGAGACTCTTTAAGAGTTTTTATGAGTTTGCTGAATTATGAAAGAGCTCCTAGTAGACAATTGCAGAGGAATGGATTCAATAACCCAAAATCACTTTCTGCTTCAATGTATTCTAGGTCAAAAAAAGCCCAGCAATGACAAGTATGCATGGTCTTCTTCATATACATGTATTATCTTGCTCTTTGGAATCTGAAGCTGTGCTCAGCTGATGTGAAGCTTCAAGAAAGATTATTGTCCCACAGAGTATACTGTAATACAGCTTCCATAAGTCTGAAGCCAAATATGTTTTGGGGGGTTCTCAATATCTAAACACAGTGGAGTCTGATAGTTAATGTAATCAGCACAAAATCAAAAGATTAATCCCTTCAATGAAATTTCTCATCCTTTGTATAATTACACACAGAAAAATTTGAGGATTAAAATCCTGTAGTGGTAGGGCTGATTCTGCAAACAGACATGAGTATGTATGCAGTTTTTATTCTAGACTGCCATCTCATTGAGCATTTGCAGGATCAGAAACATGATGCAGCAACAGATTTTGTATATTAGTTTATACTATACTACAGTACACTATACAGAGGATGCCAGCTACAGTAGAAATATGTGGAGGCTTGGACTAATTTCAGACACTGCGAAAAATCTTCTTTTTTTTTTTTTTTTAAGATGGCTACTCACAAAGCTGTTAAAAACAGGTTCACTGTAACTGCAAAATGGGTGCCAAAATGGGCACCCAAAAAACATAGCATAAAAAAATTACTAGAATCGCTAGGAGTTGTTTTTTTTTATAGTTGAGAAATTGTGTCCCTTCTAAAAATACAGAGCAAGATATTTTATCTGTAGCAAGCTGCAAAAGAATAAATACACTGCTTCTCTCTCAGGTGTGGTGTCCCTGTCCATGGCAGGGGGGCTGGAAATAGATGATCCTTTCCAACCCTATGATTCTTTCTCTCTGGCTAGATTAAATAGACAAAAAAATAAAATCAGGTACAAATCTAAAAAAAAATCTAATGCTACATTATGGAGAACTATCTTTTAAATTATTTTTTTCACTTGATACAGCAAAAACAGTGCTGATCATTATTGCACTTCCTGTTGAACAAGATCTCCAACACAGTTGTCCACATGGCATCCAGTGACACTTTTAGCTGCTAGTTAAGGAATGCTCAGTACTGTCTTAGTCCAGGTGTGTTCATAATAGTGACACCTGTCTCTTTTGGAGCCAAGGATTAGAAAGTACAGCCCCAAGCTAAAAGACTGTCACATACTTCTATTCAGACAAAGCCCAAAGTAATATTTCACTTGAGGCTCGGCAGCAGTGCTGCCTATGGTTCCCCAGTTGATGAATATAAGAGAACTTGCCATTTCAGCTGCAGGGAAGACAGCACGACAGACACAGAAGAAGCTGCCATTGCAGCTGATCCCATCCAAGGCTGAAGCACAAGGCCAATAGGCATGAACACACCTAGCAAAAAAACATATATGGACATGAGTCAGAACCACCTGTCTCAATACAGACATTTCTGTCCATGCATATCATGGATCAGCAGTTCTACAACATGACTTGCTGAGACCTCCATAAACACAACTGGACTGATATACAGATATTCACTTATTTTAAAATATGTCCCTTTCACTTCAGAGGATGACCTTTGCACCAATTCAGCCACAAGACAGTGGCCACAAGGCAAGACTATTTGTCCCTTCGCTATTCTGCACATAGGAAACAAAGCAAAAGCAATAGAAAGACAAGGTAAATGCCCAGGCAAAGCAGGAAGAAGTTAGTCATAAAGAAAAAGAACTCTTGAAGAAAGATTTAAGGAGGAATTTGGAGCATATCTAACAGAAGCAGAGAGAATATAAGCAGTGGGAGAGAAAATGTGTGATTCGGGGCCAATAAAAGAGGAAACACTAGGAGTGGAATGGTACCTCTGGTTAGAGCTGTGTTTGAATATACAGAAACTAATCCCCAAGTACTGCTGTGTGAAATAAAAGCATGCTTTTAATTTCATCATATAAGAATTTATTCCCAAGAGTTTAAAACTTGGGGAACAAAGGTTATTGGGTGGGGGTTTTCCAAAACATGTTTAAAAAAAAAAATATTTTTTTTGTCCTCCTGACAAGGTTTAAATACTCTAGGATTCTCTTTGGTTCTTTGAGCAGGAAATCCTGCGAGAGGCACCCCAGAACTCAACAGTGCTTCTGTCTTCAATAAACTGAGCTCTGGCAATCACATACCTGCTGCTATGGGTATTCCAAGCAGATTATAAATTAAGGCAAGAACCAGATTTATTCGTATTCTCCGAACTGTTCTCTTTGATAAGTGAATACTGGCAACTACATCCAGCAAGTCATTCTGTAAGACAGAAGAGCATTGAAAGTTTTCCACATGCAGTCTTCCAAATACCAAATCAAATATAAGAGTGTCAGTAATAAAAGAGTACAGGCCAAGACTGTAGTGCTCACTCGGATAAGAACAACATCGGCTGCTTCAATCGCAACATCAGTGCCTGTTCCAATTGCAATTCCAACATCGGCCCTGGCTAGTGCAGGAGAATCATTGACTCCATCACCAACCATTGCAACCTTCACCCTCCCATTTTGGAGCTCCTGGACCTTTGCAACCTTGTGAGAAGGAAGAACCTCAGCAAAGACTTTTTTGATCCCAACCTATGTATAAAGAAAGAAACAAAGAAAGAAAGTTGGTGATATGCTTCCATGCTGAAATGAATGTTCTGTTTGAAGGGAAAACAAAGATCAACCAAACTAATTCTGGTGGAGACAACACTTGCAAGCTACACGGAAAGCTTAAGAACAGCATGCCTTTGGCACAAAAAAAGGACTGATTACACCCCCCTCCATCTTTACTGTAGACATGCTGGCAAAATATGCTCTGCTATTAGTGTCATACCACACAAGGCATGTAGAAGTAGAGCTTCTGGCTCCACAGCACTGACAATAAAGGTTTAATGGTTAGAAAAGCCAGTTTTCAGCTATACATGCTGCTTAATGGACCAAAAAGTTTCAGTGAAATCATAGACTCATAGAATTATTTAGGTTGGAAAAGACCTTTAAGACCAACAAGTCCAACCCTTAAGCTGGCACTGCCAAATCCACCACTAAATCCTGTGCCCAAGTGCCCCATTTAAGCAACTTTTAAATACCTCCGTGGGTGGAGACTCTGCAACTTCCTGCACAGCCTCTTCCAATGCTTGATGACTCTTTCAGTGAAGAAATTGATCCTAATATCTAATCTAAACCTCCCCTGGCACAACTTGAGGCCATTTCCTCTTGTCTTATTATCTGTTTCTTGGGAGAAGAGACCAACACCCACCTTGCTGCAACCTCCTTTCAGGTAGATGTTTCCCCCTAAGCTGAGTTACTTCTCCAAATTCACCAAGGTGAACAGAGTTTTAGAAAGTCACCATGTTTTCTGGGGCTTTTTTTTTTTTTTTTTGCAGCACAGAGAGGCAAATACCTGAGTAGCAATGGCTTTTGCAGTTTTTCTGTTGTCCCCCGTTATCAGCACCACATCTATGCCCATGTTTTTCAGTGTGTGCACAGCAAGTGCTGCCTCCTGCTTGACAGTGTCTGCTATTGCAATCATTCCACAGAGCATGCCTGCATAAAGAAATGTCCTCTGTCAGAGGGAACTGTGGAGGCAAAGTGACAGCAAGAGAACAGGACTTCCCCTCCATCTATCACACCATAGCATCTTGTGAAATAACATATTCTGGCCAATATTGACACTCATAAGCCTAAAAAACCATCTACAGTTTTCTAGGTTATGGGCTTTTTCTTGCACATACGTGCATACTTTGTCATTTATCTCTTTCAGATCAAACAACAAACACCTTTGATACCTGTGCACAGGGAAGAAGAGGAGGAGGGTATCCTGTAAGCATGCCTGCCTAGTTTTCATGGTATAGACGAATACAATAGCGGGCCAGAGAAAGTTCTCGTTTCTGTGCCCAGGTCAGATGTTGAAGCCACTCCTCCAGGAGGAAGCATATAGAGTATCTGCTTTTATGTCCCCTAATCTTTCAGGGTTGAATCTCTATTATAATTAAGTACTTTCATACACAAGTGTTGTACCTGCCTTCCAATGCATTGATTCAATAGTGCATCCACATTTCCTTTATATGACTTACAAAATCTCACATTGTTTTATCACTGCATGTTACCTATCAAAAGTAAGTACTTAACTAAGTTTTGTACCCCATATCTCTATTTGCTGTCAATAGTAGCGATGGGAACACCAGCTGTATATCAGGGCCCTTATTTCCATGTTAAGAGGACTTTATTTTGCTGGCCTACTAAGGAAGCCCAGGCTGAGGACATGCAAACACTTCTCAAAATTGCTCTCTAGGAGCATCAGGAATATTTATTCAGTAGTTGAATCAGAGGCCCCATTTCCAGATCACAGATGCACTGGCAATCTATCGTCATTACTGTGGTGTCTCATAGTAAGGTATTGTCTGGGATCTCTTTCTGTTTAGCACAGAACCCCTCTGGCAGAACTCATTTAGTCTAATCTATTATACTTGAATGATCTAATGAATCATCATGTTTAGTCATGAAATGTTTTGAAATCAGTGATGCAATAGGTTGGCCTGTGATCCTTGAGCGATGTAAAGTTAGGATGGGACATGGCACTGCTTTTCTGAGCAACAGTCCTAGGCAACAGGAGATCCATAAAATAAAATTAAAAAAATTTTAAACTACCCAAAAAATTCTTATAAACACTGTTCTGAGTTGAAAACTTCTTTTAAGAACATCTTAATACTTGGCAGTTCACAAGCAGTTCTGAACTAAAAGATTAGTAATTTCTTGACGCTAAGCACCAATGAATTGCTCCAGTTTGTTTTTATCCATTCCATGGTAGGATTAACTGATGTTAGTAAGTCACACCAAAGAAGAGCAGTTACCATCTATAGCCACTAGTATGGCAGTCTGTCCTTTTGTTTCATGATCTGTCATTGCATCATTTATGTCATTTGCAATATGCAAGCCATTGCGTCGCATCCACTCACGATTTCCAATCAACACCGAGTACATGTGAGAAGCTGATGGACCTTTGTGCACAGACAGAAAACAAAATGAGCAACTCAAAACAGTGAACACGAGCCAGAGATGTTTGAGGATGACAATGTCAGGGTGCATTATCTAAGAAAACCTCTTCTTCAGGGGTTCTTTTGTGTGCCAGATTGGCATGGTCACACCCTGGACACAAACAGAATTAGTCTTGTTCAAGTGCTGCTGTCATGGCCAAACAGAAATGCACGGGCACTACCTAAGTGAGCCTCATAAAACTCTTCTCCCTCAGGCTTCAGTCTGTGCCTGTTTATACACAGAACTGCATCATGAACTTAATGGAAGTATTTGCGTTTGCCAGTTGGCATTGTTTTTCTGAGTAAGTGCAGTATTCATGGTTTGTAAATGCAATGCTGCTTTGTTCTCACAGCTAATGGCTTCTTTCTAATATAAAGGCTATTTCTGGTAAGAAAAAAAGTAGTTTTGTTCTAACAAAGAATGAAACCATACATAGGGCACCTCATTATGAATTCAATCCAATTTCACAAGAGCTGTATGAAGCAGGTGAGAAAATAGTACATTAACACCATTCACAAATGGCAGAGTTCTAATGATTAAAGTTCTTATTTCATTTACTTCTTCTAATAGCTTTCTCAAAAAGGTCAGGAGAGCCACAGCTTTCTGAAGAGAACTGATGAGCTTCTTAAGGAAGGCTTTAAATACTTTTTCTTTCCCTTCTACACTATAAAAGTGGCTTCCACAGAGCTTGAAACAAAACCAAATGTATTGGCCTAATCAAAGCCATGAGGCACCGAAACTCAGTTTGCAGATAAATCATGCTTCATTGTGCATCTGCTGAAAAGATTATTATTTTTTTAAGTGCCTTGAGAGATATATGAACAGAAAACAAAAGGTCCAAGTTAATATGGAACTAAAGGGTAGGATATAAAAAGTTGCAGTGAGATATATGCTAAATATATGCTAAATGTAACTGCTATAAATGGGGAGATAATGCTAATTGGCCAACTTTGCTCCCTGCTGGACAATTCTTCTATCCGAAAGGAACACTGCTGAGTATGCCTTAGGGCCTATGTATTGTGTGGACTTTTTGAGTACCTACCATTGTAGCACCTAAATTCTTATTTAGGTTTCTGAATTGCAGAGAGATTCAGAGTAGGGGAAAGAGAGCTTTGATTTTCGTTAAGGCCCATTTTTGTGCCACATGTTGTCTCCTTCTGCCATAAATCCACCTGTCTGTTGTTCCTAGCCCTATGGGATTGTTTTACAGTGGTCAGCACTGCTGATTGACTAGCTCTCCCATTGTGACTGGCAGTCACTTTGGTGGCAGACATACCATGTGATTCTGAGAGCATGACCAGCATGTTGTCTCCCAGAGGAGCACTGCTGTCCCCACTCCTGTTAGTGTCCAGCTTATCGAGACCCTCCTCGGCCATATCCAGGACAGCCTCAACACCTCCGACCTTGCAGCTGATGCCACAGCCTGGGACTGCCTGGAAGTCGGTGCAGTATCCCAAGCTCTGAGTACCAAGCTCCTGCAGATATAACCAGAGTTCATCATCAGTCTGTGCTACCCACGTGGGGTACAAATATTAGATAACCCCTGCTGAAAAGAGGCCTCATTTGTCCTCTTGACAACGACTGACTGACTGAAAAGCAGTATGGAGTATCCAGTAGCACAGAAGTTAAAATAAGGATGTTCTGGACATGCTGTGGTTTAGATTTCTAGAAAGAGGCAGCCATGCAGGTCACATCCAGGTCTCAGCCCTAGCACCAGCAAACTATAAAGGGCAGCTTTTCCTCATAGCTGAAAGATGAAGCAGTTACATTGGGGGTACATGGCCTCAGACAAGACTAGGAACTAAAGACAACCACCGTAACCATACAGCCACACAGCTTCTGAAGAGGTGTAACTTCTAATTAACCTAACAGGCAACTGGCTGTGGGGGATCAGGCCTTTTATATAAAGGTGATCTGTCTGGATTATAAAGGAACTGGGTTTTTCTGTTGAGTTAGAGAGAGAAGCCAGTGAGAACTTTCAAGATGAGAAAAGGGATTACCAGGATCCTATGAATTAGCAGAAGAATGGAGAAAATCATAGAATCACAGAATGGTTTGGGTTGGAAGGAACCTTAAAGACCATCCAGTTCCAATCCCCCTGCCACGGGCAGCGGCGCTTTCCACTAGATCAGGTTATTCAAAGCCCCATCCAGCCTGGCTTTGAACGCTTCCATGGGGCAGCCACAATTTCCTTGGGCAACCTGTGCCATCACCTCACCACCCTCACAGTGAAGAATTTTCTCCTAATGTCTAATCTAAATCTTCCCTCTTTCAGCTTACAGCCATTATAAAGCCTAAAGCCAAAATATTTATTTAGAAACAAGTTATTCTGGGTTGTCTCTGGAAGCTGTAAATACAACACTGGAACCTGGAATTTCAATGGTCTTCTTACAACACAGGGATGATAAGGCAGGCACTAAGAATATTAGCAAACAGTAATGCTGAGCAGCTTTGCAATTCATATAAGCCATGACCCAGTAATAACTGGTGCATGGAATGACTACAGAAGTGTCAGGGTACTAAGACAAATTTGAAAACAGAAAATATAAAATACCAGAAAGGCAACTGAAACATTACCCATATTCTCTTCTTCCTGTTGTTAACTTCTAAATTTTATCACTGAAAGATGTATCACTAATAAGTTTGATATGTTCTTGCCAATAAATTTTTCCATAAATCAATTAATGACTTGTCTTTGCAAACCGAAATTGTCTATTTAAACCACGCTTCCTATTTTGGTTACTATTCATGCTTTCATTCTTCCTGAAACATTTGAGGTACACATGCAGTATATAAATGACCTTTGAGGATTTGCAAAATTTGGGAAGACTAGAGTAATCTATTAATTCATTTGTGAAACTCACAAGTATCAGTTGCATAGTGAGGATTTAAAGCTTTTTGCCTAATCTATCCAGATAAGCAAGCGACTAATAAAAGCAACTAGTCGGATAACACATGAAATGTCACCACACACATTTGCTTCATGATGCTGTTTAAAGCATAAGTATTCCTCCTGCACATACATATTCCACAGTCCTTATTTCCCTACTAGTTCAGGAAAAACTTTGTAATATCTTGTTTGAGAACTCCACAGCATTATCAGAAAAGCAAAGCTTAGAATATGCTTTCTGGTATTGTCCAGACTAAGATGCACAATCATAAAATCTCCCAGCTTTCCAGTCTGTTACTATTCAGGCAAGCCTGTCCGTCTGGGACTTGCTCATTTTGTACAACATTGCTGCATTTGCACAGACCCCTTCAGGCCTTAGTGAATTGGAAGGATAAGTACCTCTTTGCAATATTTAGTAACTGCCACTCCTAGAGGATGCTCACTGCTGGCTTCTGCAGTGCCTACCACTGCCAGTACCTTCTTCAGAGAGAGCACAGCTGTGTCTCCCAGCAAAAGTACCCTCATGACTTTAGGAACTCCACAGGTGATGGTCCCAGTTTTATCAAACATTATAGTCTTGATCTGCAAAAAATAAACCAGAGTTACTGCCTAAGTCCTGGAAGCATGGAGATGCTCATATGCTTTAGGCACATAAGCACAGGCAAAACCTTAATAATCATTGGATTATACCCACACCAAGACAGAATAAACCTGCAAAAGTAGGGATTCGTGTATGTACCTGGAACTATATGTACAGTAAGTCTCCTTATGCTTTCTTATTCAATCCCCAAACAGTGATTTCACCAAAGCTACAACATCATCCTGTACCTACACCAGGATCTCAGAAAACACTTATTACAGGACTTGTACTGTCCTCTGTGTGAGCGTGTATGTATCTACATGCAGGATTCACATAATCCGCCTTAATCACTTTTACCACAAGGTAGATGATCAAAGGAGGGCTTTTACAAGTACTGTTCTAAACAATTAACAATAGCACTGGGAAGAGAGAACTCATTAATTTATTTGGTAATAGAGCAGGTGGGAAGAGTGAAAGAAGCTGCAACAAGTTCTGGAAACAACAACCTAACCAAAATCAACCTTGTACTATTCCCCAAATTCAGCAATCCCTTCTTGTTAGCCAGCCCAAGGGGTCTTGAGAATCGGGAATGAACCAAACAACACAGCCCCAAATACAATGAAACCCAAAGCTGAAGTCAATTCTAACCCTGAAGATAACACAGCACAGAGAAACACAAGAACCAGAAAACTCAACAAAGTAGTCACTAATTCTATTCCCAATTATTCCAACCCACCAACTTTGCAGAATCCAACAGTTCACCTGGTTTTCCAAGCCCTGATCCTAGTCTTGCTTAGATGCAAAAGGTAAAAGGTCATGACACTAATCAGCAGTGAGGTTTTGTTTGATTTTTTTTTTTCCAGAGACTTGGGAAAACTTCTGGTCTGTGCTTTATAATGTCCAGCAAGAATAAGAATTACCATACTGTTTAACTTATTCTTACCACCCTTTTCAGTTCAAGTGTTTGCTGTGTGTCTAATCCAGCCTACCATAACATGGTTTAAACACATTCTTTTGACTGGCTGTGGACACGTCAAACCTGTTCCTCCTTCAATCTCCCCGTCTTTTCATCAGTTTCCTTCCCTTGAAGGGCTTTTTCTAACTCCGTTCTATCTTTTTTCTCTGTTCTAAACCAACTTCAAATCATTCAGTTTTTCTCTTACATCCTACGTTTCAAACTGCTGATCATGAACAATATACATTTCATGACAGCCCTCTGAGGAAAGAAGTAAAACACTGGATTAATATTGGGCTCTTCTGCAGAAGAGGTAAAGAGAGTGCAAAATGCAGAAACTTCTGTGATCATGCAGAAGATTAGCAGCCTCACTTTTATGAGATTACAGAAACGGCTGACTCTCAACATTTTGCTATGGCTGCTTTGAAGAAAGAAGCCCAGATCTGTCTTCTTTCCCTTCATGACCAGCAACCAATAGAAAACAAATAATCAATATTCTTCAGTCTTTCTCTAGACCAGCAGGATTTTCTAGGAACCCCTTGCTGTGTAGCAAAGGTGGGTGAGCTGCAAAAGTATAGAATGAACTATTAACCTTGTGTGCCATTTCCAGGGGTTTTCCACCTTTGATGAGGATACCATTCTGTGCAGCAACACCTGTGCCCACCATCACAGCTGTGGGGGTAGCCAAGCCTAAAGAACATGGGCATGCAATGCTCAGCACAGTGATTGAGGTTTGAAACGCAAACCTCAGTATTAGTTCAGCTTTTGAAACGTCTTTGTTCTGATTCTGGAAGAAGAGAGAAGGGGCAGGGGGAAAGAAAGAGATGTATGATCGCTGATAGAAGACAACATAGTTGTACAATGAATCCTAGTCATTTCAAAAAACACATCTGCATGGAAACCTCCAGTACAGGAAAGCAATATATTATTGTTACTGCAACAGTACAAAAAGGTCAATGTTATGAATTGTTTATGGCAATATTTTCTATACGGTTTGCTGCTCAAGTACACTTATGTTTGACTCTGCTCTTGAGCTTCTGGGTGAAAATATAACTTTCCCTTATAGCTTAGTAAAGGACAACCCTATTTCTGGGTACACAGATTCCCACAGTTTCTGAGCATAGCAAACACACATCCTAAAGATAACAGAAGCTCATCTTTCTAAAGCTAAACCCACTGTCTGCCATCAGGAATAAGGATGTCCAAAAAAATTTAGGCACGATAAAAATGGCTCAGCTCCCTGCAACGCAGCTATAGATAATGTTTAGTCCACAAAGACTGCCAGTAATTTTAGTTTGTAGATACCACATGCAGAACTAAGGGGTAAATGAAAAGATATATTTATACCTGCAGACAGATTTTTATTAGTGTAATTATTTGCTCTGTGTAGAAAACAGCATATTGTATAAAAGTATTTACCAAACTGCAACATCAAACCCTACACACAGAAGGTATGTTAATTACACTGGAAGATATCCTAACACCCGAAATCATCTCTTACTGAAATTACTTACAGGAAAATATTTTTGAATAACTTCAAAATTTATAAACCCAATTGTGACCCATACTATCAATGTCACTGTTGAAATGATGATGATAAACGGTACAAAATATCCACTAAACTTGTCTGCCAGTTGCTGGATGGGTGCCTATAAGAAAGAAAAAAACAGATATTTGCATGTTTATGGTCAAAACACATAAATGTGCAAAGTTCATGAAGATGTCTGATTGATAGTCTATCTCATTCTTTTTTGAAGTCTGGAGAAACACAGTTTGCTGAACAAGTAAATATAGCAAAATATAGGATCTTTTTCTTATTTTATCAAAACCTATGAATAAAGTTTTTCTTTTATTTTCACCTTTGACATTTGAGCTTCTTCCACTAATTTCACAATCTGTGCCAGAGTGGTATCATTACCAACATGAGTTGCATTAACAAGAACTGAGCCATGTGCATTTATAGAACCAGCAATCACTGTGCTCCCAGGCTTTTTAGTGACTGGCATAGCTTCCCCTAGAAAGAAAAGGTAAAATAAATAAACAAATACTCCTAATAACAGTGAATATAGTCCATTAGGCCACAGCTCATTGTATGCTAGCAAAATCTGTATGCAAAGCAATAATGATTAGAAATCATATATTATCTCTAATGTCTCTATCTAGTCAAGACATGTTAAGTGGTGTAATACTTTTTTCTAGGTTTATTTCCAAAGAAAATGTTGTTTCTTTGGCCTTTTGGTCCAGTTCATCACCCTTCAAAAAGGCCAGGAGCAAATTGGTTGTAAAAGGAACTTCTAGGAATTTCTCCAGGTAATGCTTTGCATAGCCACGGGTAGTGGAAATAAAGATATAAATCTGTCTTTATTTCTACCACCCTCAGTTTTCAAAGACTAGAAAAGTTGCCTTTGTGGCAAAGCTCCTCTTCTCACACTGCCTCTCAAAAAAAAAAAAAAAGCTGTATACAATCTTTATTTTCTTTACTTTTAGGGTTAGTGATAATGACTGGTTCTCTTAAACTAAGGGCGTTTTTGCTCCCCAAGCAAAGTAAATACGTAACTAAAACAGGTAAGCCAATACCACTGTAAAGTTTTCATACCCTTTACTTATTTATAAGAATTGAACAATGCAGTTAAGCCTTATTACATTTATAAAATGAAGTGAAAATTTCAGAGGCTGTGAAAAAAGTCCCAGGACCTTTAATGAGCATCATGTTGTGAGGCTTTCTTTCCATCTCTTTGCCCTGGGAGAAGTCCTGTTCAGTGCCCATGCATACACACCCCAACATCTCAGCAATATTTCCCCATCACCCTTTAGAAGTTATTTGTGAGAAGGTATCACAGTATCACAGTATGCTAGAGATTGGAAGGGACCTCGAAAGATCATCTAGTCCAATCCCCCTGCTGGAGCAGGAACACCTAGATAATGTTACACACGAATGTGTCCAGGCGGGTTTTGAATGTCTCCAGGGAAGGAGACTCCACAACTTCCCTGGGCAGCCTGTTCCAGTGTTCCGTCACCCTCACTGAGAAGAAGTTTCTTCTCAAGTTTAAGTGGAACCTCTTGTGTTCCAGTTTGTACCCATTACCCCTTGTCCTATTGTTGTTTGCCACTGAGTAGAGCCTGGCTCCATCCTCGTGACACTCCCCCTTTATATATTTATATACACTAATAAGGTCACCCCTCAGTCTCCTCTTCTCTAAACTATAGAGACCCAGCTCCCTCAGTCTTTCCTCATAAGGGAGATGCTCCACTCCCTTAATCATCTTAGTTGCCCTGCGCTGGACTCTCTCCAGCAGCTCCCTGTCCTTCTTGAACTGAGAGCCCCAGAACTGGACACACTATTCCAGATGGGGTCTCACCAGGGCAGAGTAGAGGGGAAGGAGGACCTCTCTCGACCTACTAACCACCCCCCTTCTAATACACCCCAGGATGCCATTGGCCTTCTTGGCCACAAGGGCACAGTGTTGGCTCATGTTCATCCTGTCGTCCACTAGGACCCCCAGGTCCCTCTCCCCTACAAACACATTCCAGTGGAAATTCCTACAAGACCTTTGGAATAATGACAGTAGTATTTAGACTCTACCCATCTAATCACTAAGTTATTAAAAGTAACAAAACTGAGCAGAAATTCCTCAGTTTTTTAGGCTGTGTGCAGACACAGATTTGGCTTCAAGCTCACAAATACTGGGCGCAGCATCCATTAAGGTGGGAGGTTATGCACACAGCAGCTTTTGGGTTGTGTCTGCTCTATTTTCTTGTAAGAAATAATTCTAGAGGATTCCACTTCTTTGTGTAAGTGTAATGGAAGTTACCAGTAATGAGAGACTCATCTGCCATAGAAGTGCCTTCAATGACCTTTCCATCCACTGGGAACTTTCCACCAGGAACAACCTTTACGATATCACCCCTTTGAACCAGCTCAACAGCTACCTGCTCCTCCCTACAAAAGACACAAGTAGAACAGGCAGATTATTAACCCATCAAAAGAATAATGATGCTTTCACACTGACTACATCAAGCCTAGTCTTTGCACCGAGGCAAGCTGAAGCGGTTTTGGTTCACAAATAGATACCTGATGATAGAGTGGTCAGGTCCAAGAGTCACCACAGTGGCTTCTGTGGCTTGAAGAGATATAAGTTTAGCAAGAGCTTCTGAGGTCCTACTCTAAGAAAGAGAGATGAATGTTTAAGATACATTGAGATATATAAATGCTGATGCCTAATTAACACAATGAACTCTAAATGACCTTGTATAATACAAGCTACAGCAGAGACATCTGACTCAAAATTCCCCTCAATAGCTTTGTTCTATTCTCATCATAAATACACAATAATTAATGTGAAGCTGAGTTACCTTTGCTATGTGTTCCAGCCATCTCCCAAGAGCAATGAATACGAACAGCATCGGAGGAGTGTCAAAGAAAGTGATGGGGCTTTTCTCTGCCTTTTCAACTATTGCTACCATGAGGATAACACAGGAATACACATAGGCAATCGTTGTGGCTAGTACGATGAGCACATCCATATTGGCCATCTTGTGCTTCAGTGACTTGTAAGCTTGTACGTAAAAATACCACCCACCAAGAAACTGTTGGTGTAAGCATGGACAGATTCATATTTAGATCACAGCAGTGAAAACAGTACATAATACTGCCTACAGCAGAATTATAAACACATAGTAGGTAAGGGAAAGCATTGCTGTCTCATGCAAATTTTGTATTGACATAACTTTAGTGAAGTAATCTACTAGCAGACTGACTCCCATTGTCACCTTTTCACTTGCCCTTCCTTGTTCTCAAAACAGCTCTGCCAGTTAAATGTCATCCTTTCCCTCAGCAATGCAAGGTAAACAAGGCACTGAAGTTGAAGGTATTTTCCTACAGATACCCAATTAGTTTGCAGCTGATCAGGTATTTCTTCCTTTTAATACTACCTTCCCCACTTGGATAATTATCTGATGCAACTTTGTCAGAAGTAAATACTGCAAGCTATTACAGGATGGATAACTTGCAGAAAAGTGCCACTTTGTTCTGCATAGGTGGTACAGATAAGACAGCAGGCCTAATCCACTAAACCCTTCCAGTCTCCTGTTTTTATCACATCAGATTATATAAATGAGAGATTAAAGAGATTAATAGAAAGTAAACCCCACAAAGTCTGTGGACATACCTGAACAAAAGTGCACAGGACAAAGAAGAGAAGATTTAAAACAGATAATCCAGGAATGATGTTCTGTTCCAGCACCATAGACCCATGGTGCTCACCATGGGGTATTAGCATATAAATCATTAGGATTAAGACAGGGATACCAAACAGCAGGCTGCACAAGAAAGATTTCCTCCACCTGAAAAGTAGAAGCTGTAAATGCCTGGTTGTCATACACCCCACAATACCAAGGCCTGTGCCAACACTGTGCTCGCTGTGCCGGACATGGAGTATTAGTAATGTACTAACAGCTTCGGGATATATGGGGAAGAACCAACATTTTGGGACAGTTTCAAGTGTCTCTTATATGTTTAACTGTATAGACTTCTATCAGTTAAAACCCAAAACTAATGAAAGTAATAAAAGTACTTGAACCAAGTAGCAAATAGTAAAATTAAATAAGCTAAATTAACTGGGAAAGGAGGGGGAGTTACAGAAGATGATCTATACACATTCATTAGTGAGAAAGAGAAATACTTACTGCTGAATTTCCTTTTTATGATCTAGGTTATGTGCATTTGGAACTCTTCTAGCCACAGAAGCATGAAAGCCAATTTCCTTTTTATTGAAAGGGAGGGAAGAAGAGTTAGTTTTGATTAAACTATACATATTACTTATCACACACTTAAATGATACTACTTTTAGAAGAAATGCAAGAAAGGGACACTATTTCATATTTAATAAATGCCAACTTATTTTTAGATCCTACCAACATGAGAGGATATTTCAGACAGTACTCAAAATGTAGACTGCAAAGGCTTTCCGCTACCTATACATAAACACAGTGTATAGAGGCAGTGAATGTCACAGTTTCCTTAGGCATAGGAACCTCCTACTGACAGCTGGAGTTTCACTGCACTCCTCCTCCAGGGATATTTATGACCTTTCATCTCCACTGGAAAACTATGAGAGATTGGAAGAACCACAAAGGAAGGTAAAAATGTACAAGTCACTGGGCTGGCCAATCTTGTGAGCATCTCCTTATCACTACAGTTGAGTAGGCCAACCTGAAGTTGAACATCAAAGTGGCTAGAATTTGTTTAAACATGAAAACAACAAACTACAAGGCAAAGCATCCCCAAAACAAATAAAAGCAAATAGCCAGTTTTGACAGATGGTTCAATGTGTTACGGCAGTAGAATCATGCTCCCTCTCCCTAACCCCCACAAAAACTCCAAAGCATACTTGCAAGAACGATACATTTGAACTTTGTACCTGCACCATGAGATGCTCCTTCAACAAAATACACTTTACAGAACTACTTTGCCTGAACAGTCTAATAGTTAATATGTTAACCACTGCTGCCCCACCAATTCTGTGCCTTAGGAGCTTTTTCCTGCGTAAATACTGTAGAACACAAATGGCAGTTTCTGCTGTCCTCCTGACTACTCAATCGCATGTTCCTCACACACATGCACTCTTCTGGTGGGGCAGAGAAAGAAAAAATTTTGTCCACAACTTGGCCATGGTAATGACAGATTTTGTGATCTGTGTGGTTACTGTTAAGCCAGGATTCTTTTCGTTTAGTGGCTGTATCACAAGTTCTTTCAGTTTAAAAAGTTTTCCTCTGAACTGCTGTGGGAATAAATGCCAGTGAAAACAGAGATGTGTAATACTTGTGGTATGAGCTGTTGTAAAACTCTTTTTACAGCCTCTTTCACTGGCAAGAGAAAGTAGTATTTTTTTCTGAAGTATCAACACTTCACTGAAATGACAGGGAATCAGACACACGTGATTTTACACACAGAATTGCAAAGAATGAATATATGACACTTTTACCAGATATAGATAAGAAAGGTTTGGTTTTGCAGTTTCAAGGATATGTTTTCAGAGTAACAACCTGGGTGACTATGCACTAGGGTGGAGCACAGCTGCTTCACCATGACAGCATAAAACATATGGCAATAACTGTCATCTGCAAAAGTCAGTGAAACCTCTCAAATATTAAGTGCTTTGTTTCCTTTTTAACTTCACCTTACAATTGTTCTTACATAAAATATTTCTAAAGCCTACCTCAATTATTTTTATAATATCTCGAGGTCCAGTAATCTCAGGATCAAATTGGATGTGAGCTTTGCATGTGGCAAGTGCAACTGAGGCGTATAATATGCCATTAGTTCTCATGAGTTTGGATTCAATATTGTGAACACAAGAAGCACAAGTCATCCCTGTAATCTAAAGAAAAGACAAATTGAGGTACAGTTAGCAGTCCCCAACATTCATCTAATATTTGTGGATGAACATGAGACTCACCCTCCTGGTGTCAGAAAGGTACTAATGACTACTCAAGCTCTGCTGGCACTGGCCCAAGCCCTCAGAATGAAGATTTTTATAGAGCTGTCTTAAATGAAACAAAGCTGAGAACATGACTATATACTTTTATCACAAAATTCTGGAAGCAGCAGTTATAGTCACAGCTGTATATTTGTATAGCAGCACTTGTACACTGCATTAACTGTCACAGTATTGCTAACATAGTTCTATCAGCAGCTATACTAACATTACCAAAATCAAACTGTGCATGTGTGACTTTCTCGCTTACTTAAATTTTCCTGTGGCTTCACTAAGACATGTTCTTACTTCCTTCTCTGTTAGCACAACTGTTGACTGTTGCTATCTGTCTTTTAGTAGGTATGTGTCAGAGACTAAAAACAGACTTTTGAAGGATCTGTTCTTCATATAAACAATTTACTAATTTTACCCAAAGTACTCAGACCTCTATACAAAGTCCCAGGCATTATTAACACGTATTTGGTGCTACATTCTCAGTTGCTCAGTCTGTAGTGTTGACTGAAGTGCATTCACAGAAAAGTTCAATTTCATTTCTCTTTTCTATGGAAAACCTATTCTGTACATACAACTATCACTTTTCATTTCAACACCTTTGGACAGGTTCTTCCAAGACGAATTGATTTTGTCTTTTCAGCAATTAAGAAAAAATAGTGTCACCAGCCAGACTGACCTGCTGTAGCCACAACTCCTTAACCAGAAGCATTTGCAAGAAAATTATTTTTCCAGACCAAACCCGACACATAATTTCAAATATGCATGACTTACTAGAAGTTCCACATTCCCTTCTGTTTCTGCATGATCTTCTATGACAGTAGCACCAAAACCCAAATTCTGGATCAGCTGTGCTATTTCAAGAGGCTGTATGAGTTCTGGCTTGTATTTTACCTCTGCTTTACCTGCCATCAGTGCTACCAACACTGAAATAATCCCTGCAGTGGCAATAATAAAAAATATTAGATAATGTAGCTCCTTTGAGAGGAAGAAAAATAAAACATTACCAGTAAATGTCAGCGAGGGCTGTTAACAACTTAACAGATGTTATAAGCCTAATGATTTCTCTCTGCCTCCCAGTGCTGCTCCCTAGTCACAACAGCAAAGTTTCCTTTGAGATCCAGCCACACTGCAGCTCCCTTCAGCAAAGAGAACTGCAACGGTTACACACAGAGGGAGGTGAGCTTTGCTACGATCTAATGAGAAAAAAAAAACGTACAGAAGCAATCTTTACACTCATTGCTACAAGCTCTACCCTGGACTCTCTAAGTCTGGAAAGCCCTAAACAAACCCCACAGCACAATGATAGGCCTTTTTCTTTACTTATTTTTCCCTTTAAGTTGTTTTTTCATCTTCTTTTTGGGTGGGGTTTTTTTCTTTTTTTCTTTTTTTCTTTTTTTTTTTTTAGTTTTTTTTTGTTTGATTTTTCTGTTTATCTGCTTTTGGTTGTTGGTTTTTTTTTTTTTAATAAATCAACACACAGAAATCTGCACTTAGAATTGAAAAGTAAAATACAAAAATCACAGGCAAAAATAACTGTTCTGGAGTGCTAATGGTTTCTTAGATTTTTAAATCAAGGCAGCTAGACCACCACTGGGAGACTGAGGGCACAGTAATCAATAAGCAAAATCCTCCAAAGGCATCCCCACACAAATTAAATCAGACATTGCTGGGGCTCACCTGTTCATCTTCTATATGGCCAGAGGAAAGGCAGCTCCAGTGTGCAGACTTCTAATCTAATCAGCTTTGCTGTGCCTAAGTTAATATAATTACCCAGGCACTGGAGCCACACATTTGCTTATACCTGCTTTTGCAAATGTGACCTGAAAGGTAAGTTTCACATCACAAACATGCCAGAGCTCTCAATAGCTCTGGAAGAGATGGATTGATTTGTAAAGCAATAAAGCCCTGAAAATTAAATGAGAACCGTTTTCTTGTCCTGAGCCTTAGTTGAAATTTTTATCACATTGCAGCAGCTTACTGTTACAATATAACTATGCCCGCTGGGTTTGCCTACCAGTGCAGTAGGGTAGTTAAACAGTGATACAGTTACATTAGCACTAAGAGAGAACATTAAGCCTGTTTAACCTTCAGATGTTGTACCACAGCCTCTTCCATTAATCACATGGAATACCTTTTCCATCCTATAATCCCTTACAGACTCATTATTGTCATAGAATCATAGAATGCTTTGGGTCAGAAGGGACATTAAAGATAATCTAGTTCCATCCCCTTGCTATGGGCAGGGACACCTTCCACTAGACAAGGTTGCTCAAGGCACCACCCAACCTGGCCATCAATTAAGATTACAGGAAACTGAAATTTATTACCATCTTGTTTCTGTAAATTCCTCTCAATGGTAGACACACAGGATGCACAGGTCATGCCCGTGATTTGTAAAAAACACTTCCCAGCTGTGACTCCACTGGGCTGGTTTGGCCCATCAGGATGTGGTCTGTCTGGAGCAGCATCCGAGGAACAGCCTTGGAGAGGAGGATCTGGAGCTTGAGGCTGCACAGCAGCTTTGCTGGTGTCAGGCTGCTGCTTATGTTCTCCAGTGGCAGTATCTTGAATAAATGCACAATACACTGAACAAGCACTATTTCCAGTGAGATTGAGTGATGCAAAATTACAAACAGGTCACATTTATCAATCATGCAAAGTCTCTTGGTTGTTTGAAAGGTGACATAGTAATCTTGGTCTCTTCATGGAAATAATACATCTGTGTAACAATATATATTCACCAGTAGCACTTGCATGACCATTTAACCCTACAGAACCAGTTTTCCACTTTCAGATGGCAAATGATTCCCTCCAATTTCAATGCCTAGACCTGACAGATACCTCCACTCAACAAAGATATACTGCTATCTAGAGGGTCCTTATCCAGCACAGAGAATGCAGTCCAATCATATCCCTTCTGTCGCTGTTGTCATCTGTGCACAACACGTAGCACTTCATCTCAAACAAGGAAAAGGACGAGTTTCTCAACATGTTTCTCTTTATGGCACAATATTTACACTGCAAGTACTGCCAAATGAATAGTGGAAGGATTTGCAGCACCCAGATGACCTCAACACATACAGGTCTGTTGCACTAATTTTTATTCTTTACTAGATACTGAACAGACACCCAACAGCTCCAGCTGTGTTCACAAACTGCCTCCCTTTAGCAGAGGTTTGTATAAAGGAGCAAGAGTTGCTTCTGAACACATTAAACGCAGGGGATCCCCTCCTTTTCCACAGATAAATCAGGTTCCACCAACAAATTATAAACCACACAAATCATAATGAAAGACCACATATGGGCTCCTCCTCATTTGTAGTAGTACCACAGATTCAGAGGGATTAGACCTATGAGAAAAGCAAACAGGATGTGGTCTATTGTGGTCAAACTAAATCATTCTAGGTAAAGTACATCAGTATCTGAAAGCAAATCTGTTGAGGTGAAGCAGATAAATATTGCCACATCTGAAATTCACTAAAGAGGAGATTGTGCACCATAGCAAGTTCTTAAGAATTGAGCACATATACAAAACATACAAACTGTGCTGTAGCTACATGCTACATGTGCCACAGCTACATGTGGAAGCACCTGCTCCCACCGAAGAGTACCTGCATCTTGCTACTAACCTCACTTAAAGTAAGGCTTAGTAAAGTAGGGCTAGTAAAAATAACAAAGGTCAATGAATTCTGTCTTTCCAGTTTAAAATAATAATATGGACTTGTATACAGAAAAAAAAAAAAAAGGTGATTTTAAATTAAAGGGATTTCAATAAGTTTGTGAGGTTTAGTATTTTAGAAATGAAATGAACATAAATGAAAACATTTGGTTTGATAGATCTACTTACAGCATCCTGTAGACATAAGAGGAAACCTCCTCCAGTGGATAAGGGGATCAGCTATTTAAAGACCTTGTACCAACTTTCAAACCTTTGGGTTCATAATTTAACTCAACTTTTTCACCCACCAGTACAGTTATTAAGGGCTGAAATAAGGTACACCACAGCTGAAATCTCTCTCCCTTGCTAAGTGAGGTCATATCAGGTCATATCATAACCCTTAGAAAAAACAATGCCAAGAGTTTCTCTCCAGAAGAGAATCTCAATACGGGTGTCTCATGGAACAGCTTGGCACGCTACCCATGGAAGAAAGAACACTGTTACCTGTCAGTACAGAAGCATCAAACCCCATGTCTTCTATGGCAACTCTTAACACTTCTCCGTTAGTGACAGATGGATCATAATGTATGGTCCCAGTTCTGCCGGCTAAAGAAACTGCTATACGTTGCACTCCTTGTCTCTGTGATATGGTCCCTTCTATGGACTGTACGCAAGAATTACAGGTCATGCCATCAATCCTAATGACAGCCGTGCACATCGTGTCCTGCAGCGGCTCTATGAAAAGGTCGCGTTGGGAAGCAGGTGATGGAGGTGCTCCTTTGTTTGTTTCTGAACCATTAAGGAGGCATACTTTAAAGTTTCCAGGTGGAAGCGATTCAATAGCTTGCTGCAAAGCTGGCAGGGTAATTAAATTTGGGCTATACTGTACCACAGCACATTTATGCTCCAATGACACTTTAATACTTCGTATGCCAGGAAGATTAGATATGTTTCCTTCGATGTTTCTGACACAGGAGTTGCAGTGCATGCCTTCTACCTGTAGAGCCACCGTAGCTGTGCTACTCATCTTGATGAACCGCAGGTCTACTCCATTGCTCTCAAGACTTGCTGGTGTCTCCTTGGGGTTTGCATTCTGCAAGCGCTCAAGATCGAGGACACCCAGCTTCAAAGGGGCTGATTTACTTTTGATGGTGCAGTCATACCCCAGGTTACTTATATGGCTCTTGAGGTCGTCAGGCTGAATAATGTAAGGATAGTACGCAATAATAGCTTCCTGGTTACCAAGTGACACCTTGATTTTTGCCACACCGTGCAGCTTCCTAATCTTTCCTTCAATGTTGGTGGCACAGGACTGACATGTCATGCCTTCTACCCGAAGCTTAACTACTGCTTCTTTCAAGCATGACAAATTTACAGTTGCTGTTTTCGACCACTCTTCTGCTATGTTGGCATCAAAGCCCATATCCTGAATTTCTTTGCAAATCTGCTCAGGACTTATGTCTGACTGCAGATACTTTATTACAGCATTGTTCTGTTCAAGGGAGACTTTAATACTCACAATGCCCTTCACCTTGGAAATTCGGCCTTCTATAGACTGCACACATGATTGGCAAGTCATTCCCACAACATTGACTGCTACAGTGTGTTCTAGGGAAGAGGAAGAGGGCCCAGTTTCAAAGCTGTCCTCATAGCCCATGTTGTCAAAAGCAAAATTGTGTTTCATTGTAGGCTCCAGCTCACAGCCAGGGGGAGAATCAGTGGTGGACAAAGCCTAAGGAACAAGAGGCAAAATAAAATATCATGAGCCGTGTGAAAGCAGCAATATTCTGCAAGTCCTTTCAAGTCAGGCTATACAACCAAAAAGCTTCACGACGTTAACTTACACTTTGAATATATTACCACTGACCTATGCCTACAGTGATGAATCACATCTCCGACACTTCTCTTGAGCAGCAATTTAAAAAATATTCACTAGGGACATAAAAGCAAAATTATCTCAATATTTCCACCCCAACACAATCATTTAAAACCTGAGCTTTCTGCAGCCACAGGGCACTTTCACTATCCAGCCTGAGCCTTGCTCTCCAGGGCACATTGGCACAAAGGGTCATAGCAGAAAGTGGGCTGATCATCTGTCCACAAATGTCAGAAGCTGGCTCAGTCTGGCCAACCTGCTGCTGCAGGAGTTCAAACCAAACCAAACTGAAATGCCTACAGAAAACAGAATCAAGGATTTCCCAGAAGCCTGAAACAAGCCGGCATAGGGAGGACCTGTTGCCTGATATCTGAAGAGCTGTCTGCATGCAGGTCTTCGAAGTTAAAATCTGTATCTGACAAAGATTTTAAAAGACAGAACAACATTCAGATATTTCCACCATGGTTTAGTTTAATCTACCTCCTTCTGAGGCACCTAAGGAAAACCATATATGGAGATACAAGAACTCACTGATTTGATCCAAGACTCATTTTCAGGATGTAGTAGCCAGTACTGAAGTAGATCAGTCACAAGCAGACTATCTCTCAGTGAGATCATGGGCTCTGCCTTACTGGCTCTCTACAGTTTAATGTACTCAATTTAATTCAAAATGAATTATTAAATAAAAAAAAAAAGTTATAAAGGCAATGCTTCCTGCAGAATAGGTAATTGGAGCCCAGAAGCTGTTGCCTAAGGAAATTGCTAGTACAAAGTGATGAGAAAGATTGAGAAGGAGATGGACAAGTCCCACATTATCAGATTTCATGGAAAGAACATAAAAATTCATGTCTGTGACTTAAAGTAGCTTTAACTACTAAAAATTCAAATGCAAGCTACTATGACAAATCTATTCTCTTGCCTGCAAAGTCAGGGGCTCTCCAGCATTCAGTAAAGCGCCTGATGCTGGGCATTATTGCAGGGAGGGGCAGGAGAAGGGGCCACTAGATCAGCCTCAGTACCACAAATCTTGTTCCTACCACTGACAAGAAAACTCCCTCCTTGGTACCACAGAGCAGATGAGAAGCATTTAGGCTGCTTATTAACACTAGGCTGCATCGAGTTCATTTGTTGCAGTATTCAAAATTCATTAACTTGATTTTGTTTCATGCTTGGACAGCTTGAGAATAATGAGGTCTGGGGTCATGACCAAAATGGTAAAATATTAAGACAAATTTGCTTTCAGCCTTCTCTGTATTGTATTTATTAAAACAGACAAGGAGAAAATAGAGGGGATGTGGGTATATTAAAAAGAAAAACACTTCCCTTAAAAAAAAAAATCACCCCCCCCAAAAAAAAAACAACAAAAAGCCAAATCATTGAAGAATTTACCTTCCAGAAAACCCAGAAATGTGCACAGGTTCAAATACAGTGTTTGCAAAGCCTTTAGTATTGCTTAACAGCTTAAAAAAAAAAAAAAGAGAAAAAAAGAAGGCACAGATACATCTATGCGTGACTTTTCTAGAAGGGGTGTTGCTACACTAGATCAGAGCAAAACAGCAGGTTCATGTGAGGACACAAAGATGACACATGCAATGCGCCCATGATTTGCCTCAGGGCACATGGTAGGTCTCAGAAGAGGGTTTTCTGATAGCAGCAGACACCCACACATAAAATGGTATCAATGAAGCTGTATAGGAATTGAGGGACACCATCTGCAAGAGGATCAGAGAAGCAATTGCCTTCAAAAAATGCCAAAAAAAATGTGCCTGGAATTCCCAGGAATTACCCCTCTTGCTTGCTTCTACCTAGAGAGAAATCCCAATGAAATAATGAAAATGCAACTGACTCTTCATCCATAAGGGAGTGCAAAAGAACCAGATGCATTTACAAGCTATTTGTCTTACACACAAAAGGAGGCCTGCTTACTTTGAAGGGCAGGTGTACTCCAAACTGTTTGCTCTACCAGTCTCACACGTATTTCTACAGTGACTATACAAAAACTATGTAAATAATGAAAGCATGACATTATGACAATCCTTTTTCTCCCTTGCTCTGCACATAAAAGTTGCAACTGAACACACACAGCAGAGTGAGGCTCTAGTCTGAAAGCTATGAATTCCTGTGGAAAGCAGTGTTATAGAGCTCATTTAAACAATATAAAATTTAAAAAAAAGAAAAAATTGATAAGAAACACACTGACACAGAAGCAGTGGTAGCTGGAGAGAGCTTTAAAGGAAGCCCTAGAGTAGGATCAAAAATATTTGCATCTACAGAAGACAGCCCTGAACCAGACCCAAGGTGAGCAGTAACTGAAACTGCTGATGTGCCTGAACATGGAACCTGAAGCTCAGCTCCCCATATGGGAATTTCAGAGCATGAAGAAACAGCATGGGGAACAGCCCTTGATGTCCCACGTAGGAGCTGGAGCACTCATGCCTGCCTCGGGGCAAAGCAGGGCTTGAAGAAGCAGGAAGGGGCAGAGGATCCTGCTTGCCATCCTGACTGCCTCCAGCCAGCATGAAGGAGATCATTCAACAGGATTGTGCCCTGGGGCTGGACTAATTCTGTGGAAAGCGTTGAGGTGGAGAAGGGCAGGGAAAGATTGCTGGATTGGGAGCACCAAGTCTTGAGCCCCAGTTTGGCATGCAGCTCTTGGCATTACAGCAACGAGAGCTCGGCAGCAGGTCTGGTAGGAAAATTGGACATGGTCCATGGCCTGTGCAATTGGTCAGCAAAACCACCCCACCGAGTGCTGCCTTCAAAGGCCTAGTGCCCCACTTTCCCCGCAAATGGGCTATTTCTTCTGGGTACTCCCATTCAGAAGTGTAAAGGCTGAGAGTTTAACACAGCAGTGAGGGAATACAGAATAAATGTGAGAAAAGCAACTGAAAATAAAAAACAAACCAAAACAAACCCCAAAACCAAACAAAAACCCAAAAACAAAGAAGAAGAAACCCCAGCACTGGGCAAGATATATGCACACATGATGGCTGGTGTCTTGATGATGGATGGAATCCCACGGCTGTCAAGTCAACAAGGTTGGTGCCCTCGGCTTCATGCCCTGGCCACCAGCTGCCCCTGGCTGAGTCCCCATGCTGCCTCCATCCCTGTGCTCCATGGTCACCTCACGGAGTGGCTTGCCACCAGGAAAGCCATCCCTCTCCCCCTGAAGGGGTGCAGCCACCTCCAGAATACCAGTGTAACACTCTTGGCCTCTGCAGCTGAAAGCTGAGGCTGTGGGAGGCGCACCACACAGCTCCCAGAGCATCACACACATGGAGATCCCACACAGCTGCTGCACCCCTCTGGTGGTCCACCAAGGCTCTACCGCTCTCCATCTCCTTCACCTGGCCTATGGGGATGCCAAATTTAACTTCCTGAAATTCAAGCACCAGACTCCTCACCGTGATGCCAGGCAGTCAGCTAGCGAGGAGACAGGGCCCAGTCCATTCATAGAATCATAGAATAGCACCTTCCCCTCTGCCTCTCCCCATCTGCTGATCCAAGAATGCCGATGTCACTGAATCTCATGCACAGTATCTCCAGTGGTTTTGGGCTGCTCTTCTCCCTTTACATCTGCAGACTGAAAGGAGCTATCGCCCTCTCACCTTCAAGCATTGCCAAAGAACTGTCTTCTCTGTGCCACTGTTTTACCTTTCTTGCTTTGTTCTTTCACAACTCACTGATTCATGGCTTTGGATCCAGGCAGGCAGTAACACACAACTGAAAAGCCACACACTATTAATTAAAGGCTTCAGATGCTTTCCCAGTTTGTTATGGGCAGCCAGTGAACAAGAAAATGAGGACAGAGCAGACTCAGGAACATCAAAGATCCTGAGTCTTTGATTTCATACCTGCACTTCTGAGTGGGCAGAAATTCAACCCTCATCCTTCTTAACAAATTTCTGTGCAGCTTGTCCATTCACCTTGTTAGCTCATATTGTTTAAACGTATTAAATCTTAACTGGTTATTCTTCCTTCCCTCTTCACCCAAGTTTAGTGAAGATTAACAAGTGTCAGTAGCTACTATTTTCAGTAACTACTTGCAACATAGCTTGTTATTTTTCAAACAGTTACTGAGTTTTGAATGAGGGAAAAACCACCCTCTCCACCTGGATATTGAGATTCAATGAAAATATTACTTTAAAGCAGCCTTTATGTGCTTCTGTTTTCAAAATATTACATTGGCTCCCTAATGCTTCTGCCAAGTGACTGCTATTCCACATCTAAGAACAAGTTTCCGTAACAGTGATGAGGAAATATTTACGCAGTTGCAGCTAGTCTTAGTGAAATGAAACCTACACCATAGTTTAACACACCTTAGAGACCTTAACAGGTACTTTCAAATTAAAGGGAGCTATGTAAACCAAGCTCACTTTAGTGGGAAAGGAGAAAGCCTTGTCGTAAATGGATTGTTTCCAGTTTAGAATTAAAGCAGAACACTTCATGATATTCAGGATGACTCCAGTTCAAGCAAAATGCATATCCCAGTGAACGGAACACAGAAGAGAGATCCTTCGGTAGGAAGAAGTCATTTATGTCATGATTGTTTTCTAGCAAACGTTTATAATATAAGTAACTCAAGTCAGAAAAAGCTTTCAGCTATATTTGGTCTGTCCTAGCTGTTATTTTATTCCAGTCTGACACTAATTATTTAAGGTATTCTAAGCACATGCAGTTTCAAAGGATACAAAATTTGTTCTGAGTTTCTTTTCCTTAAATGTTCACAATATTCACTGATCCAAACTACACTGCTGTCATTTACAGGTCTTTCAAATAACAAAACCTCTTTTTAAAATAATAAATCTCATCATGTTTTTATCCACACTGATCTTTCTAAGCCTCTTCACAAAAGTTAATCTCCAAAAATATGACAGTTCTATACATCAATGAATTTAAAAAAAAAAAAAGATGTTGCCACAGATGTATTATCAAGAACTTCCACTAGCATCCACTTAGTAGCTATAAACTACTTACCTACAGTTAGGACCTTTTAATGTTTCTGCAACTTCTGTTATTCCAGAGAATACCTGGTATGAGCTGCTGTCAAACTACTCAAGCAATTGCAGTTCAAAAGGAGAAATACTAATAGGTTTCCTGACTAAGAATCCCCATGCTGTATTATTAGAGGTGAAGCTGAAAAAAATGCTCATTAATTACTACAGCATAACCCCTCATTAACACCTGCTTTCAAAGGTTACTTTCTGAGGACTTTGCATTTGTGTACGGCTTCTTTTGGGGCAGGCATCCATGCTGGGGATTGAGACAATTCAGATAAAGAAGGTTTAACCTCCTTTAATATACAATCCGCATCCAATATGCTCTGTTTTAAATTCTCCAGTTCAGAAACACTTCTTTCCTCCCAACACACACACACACACCAGCTCACTGACCTGTCTTTCAACTGCATTGACTTCTGGCATTCCCATGGAGTAACTCTGCAAAACTTTCTCTTCTTTCTGCAAGTTACTGCTTGCTTTTATCGGAGATCCTGTCTTGGACTTTTCACCAATAATCAGTAGTTCAGGCACATCATGAGCTGCCTGCCGCTTCCGAATAGACACCAGGGTTATGTTTTTGTTGTTCAAAGTAGCTAAGCAGGACAGTTCCCTTTTCATTTTATTGTCCAGCTTTCTCTCCATTATCTTTCTGGACTTTAAATATTGCAGTGCCAAAGGAAAGCTTTACGAGAGTGGTTATTCAGTGTCTTATCAGCCCCGCTTCTTTCAGCTACATTTACAATGGCTTGAAGAGTTCTGCCAGTCTAATCGACGTGCTCATTAGGCATTCATCACGAAATCCCAGATGTAACCTGTGATCCGTGTGTACACTGCTTGCTGCACTCAGCCACCTGCTCTTCCTGCCAGTTTAAATGCTTCCCACCAATTGGCATCCCTCGTGCTTACCAAATTGCGTTCTGCACTGTTAATCTTTGCACACGGCATTGCAGCAAGCTCAGCCAAGGCTGCCTTTCACAAGCTAGTCAAACATGACCTGTGTGCACCAGTGCATAATTAACTCAGCCAGCCAGGCATCAGCTCCTTGCGGCCATGTGCATAATCACAGCTTCTACAAAGGGCAGTGCTATTCCATTTCCTATGAAATTACCAGGGATTACTTGGATAAAATGTGGCCCATTCTAACACTGAAAACATGCCTATGATTATATCATTAGACAAGGTTCCTAGACCAAAGTTCTTTCACTCATTTAGGGCACAAGAACATTCATTCTTTGTTTCAAGGGGATGGGGGGGTGGAAGAATGAGTACAATATTTGTACTTTTTGAAATGTGCCTCTTTACCACCAGCAAGCTTTATTAAAAACCAAACAACTTTAAACGAGCAATTAGTGCCAGAAAGGAAAGAAAAAAGAAGATATTCCCTTTGGCAAACTCAGTTCCCCTTAAATCCTCTGGGCAACTACAGGAACATCTAGTTCAGACAGCCATACACACGATGGGTACAGCTACCAGTAGTGCCTAGAGCCAAGCTTGAATATATTTCTCTACTATTGCCCACAGCAAATTCACAGCGCTGTGTTAACCTGGTGAACACATCTCTAGTTCCCTAAGCCCACAGTAGCACAGCCCACTCCTGAAGACACCCCTGAACAGGGGCACACAAAGAATCGATATAATACAGCTGATGTATCAGCAGTTCACACCATCCCTGGCTGTGCAGTGACCTCACTGCAAAGGCAAGCCCTAAAATGATTGGTTTGCATTTAATCAGAACCTCTTGGATTTGTCCCAGAATTTAGTCCTATGTGGAGGTTAGCATACAGGGTCAAATCTGAGGGAGTCAATGACAAACACTCCACCTGTCTGGCAGGACAAATTCAGATTCTTTTTACTTGCAAAAGCAGTACATCCCTCACAGCCATGCCACAAACACAGTAGCCCAGAAAGCCACCATGCAGGACATTGGCATCCTGCCTTGTTTTCCTACCATAACTTCCCCACAAGGATGAATCCTCAGCTCTGCTCACACCATCCAGTTCTTGACTTCACTTCAGAGTCAGGAACATCTTTGAAAAAATAAGGCTTTCTGCCAGTGAAGCAAACCTCAAAATACTGTTGTAGCACTATTTCACATCATTAGTATATATGATTGGTGATAGCACTACACTTTAAAAAAGGGTTATTTTGAAAGCATTTTGAGAAATGGCCTTTCTAAAGAGCATTGCTACAAAGTGTAAAATATCTGTTTGTTTTGTATATATCAATGAAACTCTCAGAAACACACGTGTCTTCAGCTGGAACACTCTTCTGTGAAAGAAGACTGTGTTAAAGATGAAATATCTTCATTAATTACTGGTTTTGAAATAAGCAATTGAAAATCATATAATTTGGCTCACATGAAAATATTTCACTACAGTGTCTTTGAATACTAAAGCTACAACTACATACTAAATACATATGTATATGTCAAGTTAAAAACTATTTTCTGTCTTTCTAAAACAAAATCTGATCCCAAACCAAAGTTATTCAGCTCTGCATCCTAATTCTTAATAATGGAAATTTCAAATTCTAGATTGTCTTAGGGAAAAAACTTCCAGTTTCTGGCCAGCTCTAAAATCTATGCCTGATCCATACATCTCTGACAGTATCCTTACTATTAAAAATATCTCAAACCCTACCTAGCATGTTTCTACAAGTAACTAGTATTCATTAAATTATTCTGTGATGAAACATACTGTAAAAACAAGTTAGCATTTTTTCTTCTTCATTTCAGGTTCACCAGCAAAGCTCAGCTTGGGCTGACAGAATAAAGAGATATTTAGTAAGTATCTTCTCTACAATCCCCTTCAAACATCATCTTTTTTTTTTTTTTTTCTTCCAGCTTCTGAATAACTCTGAGGTAAAAATCGATTTGCATCCAAAAGCAGCGGAGATAAGTTCCTATTTAGTGCCCCATAGTCCTTTGCCTTTGGCAGAGCCCGAAACACCAATTTGGAGGTAGACAAGAAACATACAAGGTTCTGCTTTGAATACGTTCAGTCTTACAAGATACTTACCCACATTAAAAGAATTATTTGGCTGGGAAAGAAGTTTGCTATAGCTCTTCAGATGAAAGGGGCACAAGATATATTTCAACCAGTCTAGCTGATCTGAAATACCTAGTTTAGTTGCAGGTTCAAGCACAGGTATATGGCAGTAGCAAATGAAACCTGTGCAGCTGACCAAATTACAAGCAGCCCTTGGAGAAGAGGTACCATTCACAAAGCAGAAACCACTGAGCATCTTTTATAAAACTGAACCATTTCTATTTAACCTTAGTACACCAGACTGAAAGCTCAGAGATCCTGAGCCATTCCAACAACTCCACAACTCTCTCATGGTTCAGGAGGCAGTTCAGGAAGGGACCTGATGTTGGCACCTCAAGGGTGGCAATGGCTGTCAGGGCAGTGAGGCAGCTGTTGGGATTTAACAGCTTGCAGTCACCTGGTGCTGAACTCTGACAGACTGCTACTGGTTTCCAAATTATTTTCCCCATTCTGGCTCAATTAATTGCCCCTTAGAGTTAACAGAGTTAATGTTAATTGTGTAACCTGCTAATTGGGGGAGAGCAGTTTAGTTAGGGCCTGTTGCCCTAAGTTAAGGCAATGTCGCCTGTCTTATCTAACAGTATCATTCTCTGGGTCAAGGTTAGATTTTGCACAGCTTAGTTTTGCCAGGAGGAATCACTCAGGTTGGGTAACATGAGATTTAGGTGGCAAATAGCAATTAATGTCCGCTGCTTTTGCAGCTCTCTGTTAGCATACGGCAGAGATGCTTGCATTTCCATGTGAGAAAATGAAGAACATCCCAAGAAAATTGAATCCATTTGACTTAAAGTGTCCAGAGATGGTAAAACACAAGGTTTCCTCTTTACATTACCAGCTAATATCAGAGAATATGATAAACACACAAGAACTTTGTGTTTTCAGGTAATTTTTTTTCCTGGGTGCATTCATTCCTGGCTTTATAAGATGTTCTGGCCTGCATTTAATCCCTCTGGCTCCTATTTTAAGATGCCCAGAGGAAGCATCTTAAAATAGCCTTAATAATACCTTGAAAGATGAGACACTTGGGTTCCAGGGAAAAACTGAGGCCTAAGATAAGAGGGTCATATTGCCTTAATCTGACAGACAAGAGGAACCGGTTCAGATAAGTGCACATCACATCAATGCAAAGAGCAATGTAGCAGCATCACTCTAGAAATCCAGTCTGCCCTTGAATGTTAACCGTTTTCCTACTCTCCTCCTCAGATATAATTTTAAACTACTGAAATACAATGAACCTTGAGACATACGAATAATGATAGGAGCATTTCCCCCCCAGCAATTTCACATTTGTCAGTATTTTGAGTTCTTTTTAATTTGTCTTCAGGATGCAGTCAGCTAAAAGTTCTGAATTTTTCTCCCCCATCAAAACAGAGTTAGATTAACTTTGGGTTTTATACACATAACGTGACTGCAGGAACTGGAGCTTCAAGAAACAGAAGGGGGGGGAGGATGGAAAGCAGTGTGTTGCAAAGCTCCTAGTAACATCACAAACAACAGTGCTGGTAACTCACAGTTTTCAAGAAGTTGTTAACAGCATTGCTTGGGCAGGAATCCCTTAAACACCCAGCCCTTGTGTGAACAACTATTTCTCCTTCATCAGAGTCCTCGTTAAGCCAGAGGAGAAGTAGCTAGTAAAGGTATGCACTTTTTCTTCAAGCAAATCTCTATCCTTGCTCAGCAGTCAGTTTTTAGTCTTGCTAAGCAACACAAGCCTCACATTTTCCCTATCAAGTCAATCAGCTGCAGCTGAAAAGTTCAGTGGAAGATTGGTAAGATTCATGGTACATAACTACCAGCCTGAACTCTCCTAATTAACTGACATACTTCTTACAGTACATAAAATAAAATAAATTTGTAGCATCAAAGAGGCAACAAAACTGCCTCTTTACCTACATTTTCCCTAGTTTTGAGCCATGAAATCAGGAAGATAACTCTTTGGCTACAGTCGTAAGCAAACAGGCAGCTGTCAGATACACAAGAGTTTCTACATCATGACTGGTATATATATATTTTTTTTAAGAGATTAAAAAGCATGAATAAGAATATTATTTCTTACACTATAAGAAAAAAAGGAAACTGTGCAGAACTGAAATACAAGGAATCAAATTCCTACCTGCCACAAACAATATTGCTTCAAATCAAACAGTTCAGACTTTGGCTTCAGTTTTTCAGGAAGCAGCCTCAATCTTCTCTAAATATTTAAAAAAGCTTTGTTTGCTCTACACCAGCACAACCCAGCGGGATAGCACTTTTGTAACAGGGTCCCCAAATGCATACTAATTCTTTTTCATTCCACAGCTTCTAATATGATTTCAAATTGTGTGGACTTGGTACTTTGCTTTCAGTAGTGTGGATTTCGTTATGACCCTTTTTCTTATCTGTCTATTTATACTGCAGGAATTTGTTGTCAAGAGCCTGTAAACTACCAGGCTCATCATATTACTACAGGAAGAGGCACACCTTTTGGGTCAGGGTTTAAGTGCAAAGAACAATTGCAGTCTGCATGATTAATTTGAGTCCAGGTCTCAGTAACATTCATTGACCTAGCAGGGGCAGAGGAATGGCAGAACTCATCAAGCAGTGCCAAAATGAAACCAGTATTTTCAATTTTGTGTTTCCAAAGCAGGTTTCTGCTATTGTCTATGATTTGCTCTTGCTCAGAGCTGGGTTTTGGCTTGTAAGTTTGAGAAAAAAGCTTTTTTGAATTCCATACAGAGAAAAAGGACCCACATTTTATCCATCTTGACTGCCATATTTCAAATATAACTTGAGAATGAGTAATATTACGGAAGTAATTTTTTTTAAAGATGAATTTTAGAAGGCAAAAATACCTATTACATGTGAATTATATC